CAGAAACTAGGAGAAACAAAGTTCTGCCTGACAGGACTGTCAGCAGGATGAGAGAGATCTTTGTACCACCACATCAGCACCCCACCATGTCCGCAACCTTTAAGCCACTGCACTGGAGTGAGAGGTAAAGAAGTCTTGCTGGGAACCCCAGGTGTAGAACCCTAGGCCTCAAAGGCACAGGTGGGACACTACGGCCAGCTTAGCCCTTTAGCGCCCACCAGATCAATACAGCTTCTGCACATATGGCCCCCCTGCTCTTCTCAAAGCAGTACTACCTCTAATCTCCTAGCAGGAACAGAGTGTCCAAAGGCCACCAGAGCCTGCCCAAGGAACCCCACAAGGAACAAAACCTGCCTCCTGAGTTCCCAGCCTCAGGATTGTCGGGAGCCAGAAGACCAGTCAGCTCAGGGCTCGTTGCACAGAACATGGCCCAGGCTGAGACAGAGATCGCTGGTTCAGAGCGCTGTGACCTAAGGCTGGTCGCTGCCACACCCTGAAGTGTTTCCTCACCAAGACTAGACAGTCTGCAGTCCTGGAGCACCTGTCTCCAGAAAATAACCAGACCCACAGATCTGACCAAATAGTAACAAGCAGGTTGGGTGGTGAGCAAAATACTTCTTCCGTCCACCTGCCCGGGACACCCACCCAACAGCCTCCCACAATGCCCTTCCGATAAGGATCAAGTCTTGGAATGAAGTCCCAAGTTCTCAAACGCCCTACTGTTCATTTGAGGGTTGTTGGCAGGAAGAGAGCAAGGGAAGGCCTCTGCACAAAAGCTTTGTGAAGCTGGACTTGGTGGCAGGGGCCTGTAGATCTCGACAGCTTGGGAGGTTAAGGCAGACGGACTCACTGATCTGGTGGAAACCATTGTTATTTGAGAACCAAAGTATTTTTATGCTAGGGCTGACAACATTGTGACAACAACAGTGCGAGCAATTCCGCATGCCAACTCAAAATACCTCTGCAGACAAACACCCCAGCATGCAGACCACAACACCCTCTACGGGGAGACTGTAGGACGCCTCAGCACATTCCCTAGATAGTATCAATTCAAAGTTCTCCCCTCCCACAGACCAAGGGCTGTGTGACTTCCTATAGACACATTAGGCTATCAACTGTCCCTTCCATCCATCCAAGGCCTATGCACCAGGTCTTAATGGAAAACTCATGGCTATGAAGCAGAATACCCCTCCAACCTACTCCCCGCTTTGCATTTTGGATGGTAAGGCCAAGAGAAGAAATGAAGCAACTTTATACTGCAAAGATCTTTGTCATTTACAATCCACCCATGCATCCCTGATCTCATCTGAGCTGTGTGGCAACCCAGTAAGGTAGGCTTTGCTCTGGAGTCAGGGCATGGAGGCACTAAGTGCTGGTTACCTGCCCCTTGTTATGGTCTGAATGTCCACTCCCCACCCCAATGTACTGAAATACATGTGTTGAGATATATGGCCTTTAGATACTAGGCCACGAGGGCGGAGGCCTCATGAGTGAGATTATTGTCAGTATAAAGGGGCCAGAACAAGCCAAGCATGGTGGCTCATGCCCTGTATACCTGGGAGGCCAAAGCAAGACTTCTTCAGCCCAGCAGTTAAAAGACCATGTCGGGCAACGGCTCAGTAAGACTTCCTCCAAACACATATACAAAATACGAGAACGAAGAAACAGGCCGGAGAAAGATCCTTTGCCCCTCCCACTATGGAAGGCCACACAGCAACAAGAAAGCCATCTGTGAACTGAAAAGTAAACCTTGTGACACTTGAGTTTGCCAAATTTCCAAATCTGGGGTTTTCCGGCCTCCAGAAGTGTGAGAAGTAAATTTGTTTGTTCAGGAGCCACTTCTGTGGACGGTCCATTGTTACAACAGCCTTCACAGACTTCAGACTCCACTAACACGGCGAATATCCCTTTGCCCATTTTGTGAGTAAGAAAGGAGACTCAGAGGTTGGAGAGCTGGTTGCTGGCGACTTACCTCCTGTGTATGGAAAGTGATCTGGGAAGGACAAAGCTTTCCACCACCAGAATCAACGCGCTCTAGATGTTTAAACTTTACAATGCTGTTGGGGCTGGAGAGATGGCTCAGAGGTTAAGAGCACTGACTGCTCTTCCAGAGGACCCGAGTTCAATTCCCAGCAACCACATGGTGGCTCACAACCATCTGTAATGAGATCTGGCACATTGTTCTGTATACATAATAAATAAATAAATCTTTAAAAAAAAAAAAAAACTTTACAATGCTGCATGTCCCTGACGGCTTAGCCACGCCGACAGGAAGGGCGCCTGAAGTCCCTCCCCATTCTTCCTAGGCACACACTCCATTATCTAGACCTTTGCATCTCTTGAGCCACAATAAAGGCAGACCTACTCTATTTTCATGCCCCCCCAAAGGTCCAGCTCTCTGACTAAAGACCCCATTTCAAGCACAAAGCCTCATTTAATTGCTCCACTGCACCCCCCACCCCCCACGCCTGCTATCTGCTGCCCAGCTCTCAACTCCTACTGGGCAGACTCTAAAACCGTACAGGAGATTAAGTCGAGAGGGAGAACAGGAGCCACATTATCTCCTTGAACTTTCTTAAATGGAGGAGGGGGGTCATGAAAAGAAAAGGCTCATTTTTCCAAGGAGGGGGCCGAGGCAATGATCTTTCCATTAGGCAGACGTGCTTAAGAATGTATAGATTATTTAATGCTGGGGCGGCTGCAGAGGGAAATAAAGGAGTCTTTTGTACAGTCCCAGCACAGTTTCCTCACTCTTTCCCCAGCCAGGCATTTCACCCAACTCTTTGAATCATCCAGCCCTAATGCACCCCATCTGTGCACTGGCTGGAGCCAATGAAATCAAGCCTGTGCTGACTTTGGCCTGGACTTGTGAGCCTTCCTGCCCTAGAAGGGGTGGGTAGGAAGGAGGACATGAAGCCAACGAAGCTCCCCCCCCCCCCTCATCTTCTCCCAAAGCCCTATCTGTCCATTTATTTGATCATTCACTGAGTTTTTGCCATGGGTCGAATTCTGATCTAGGGACACAACAGAAGGACGCAGAAGGGTACATGAGAGGGGGTAAAGGGGGGCTGTTCTCGGCAGAGGCTTGAGAGACCCCCACCCTCATATCCATGGAGTGCTGCATGTGTCCTGCAGCTAACTAAAAAAAAACAAGGATGTGGCAGGCCATCGAAGGCCCCGAACACTTGACTCAATACAGCAGACGTAACCTCGAAAACCATTACCATCTCTCTGCATGTCCAACTTCCATCCATCTTTTCAGGCCCAGCTCCAATAAAGACCTCCTCATCAAGAAATCCTACTGAGTACCCGCAGACAGAAATAGCTTCCCCACTGGTACAACATGACCATCCACTCACCATAAAGAGTCCCAGGGTTGGTGGAATAGCATTTTTAGTGTCAGGTTGCAGTACACAGGACACTCAAGTGCATGGGAGTCGTGGCTTCTTACACCACAAACACTTCTTCCTTGTGTTAAAAGGATGCCATAGATGCTTCTCTAGATAGAAACACTTATTTTGGAAATGACTACAGAAAAAGGTTGTGGAAAGGAGACAGCGCCAACTCAAATACAAGGTTTTTGGCTCACATTCCATGCCAGGAGACTGGCTAGTTCTCCCATGGACATGGCCTCCCACATCCAAATTTCCAGTCAAGGATTTACCCTAAAACTCAAGAAATCTGCAACGAGATGATATAGTAGATAGCTAAAGGCTGTCTTAAGTGTAAATAACACAGTTCAGGAATACAGAACAGAGTAGAATGGGTGACCATTCAGCCAGGGCCCTGGGGGCTGGAGGTATGGAGCTTGTAAGTTACTAAGCAGCCTGGAATAGACCCACAACAACAGATTCTGTTCTGGGGCCTCATTTCAGAATCTATGACCGCAGACTTGGATGTTTGGGCAGCCTTCATGTGCCAGTCAGGCCAGCCAGCTGAAGAGGAATGTTCTGTAACTGCTGGCTGGAGCTGTCACCCATGTTGGGCTGAGACTACCAAACCCAGGGAGAAGCAAGCAAGAAAGAGTGCCTTCGCCAGTTCTTATAAACAGTTCAGGATCGCAAATGTATTCTTAGTCTGGGTCTGTGTAAGTATTTGTTTGTCCCTTAGTTGTGTGGAGGCTAGCTTCTCAGGAAAGATACTATTAAGGGGGAAATTCTCCCACGATTTTTCTTTGTCATCTAGCCTAGTAAAACCTGTTTCTCCTCCCCTGGGAATCCAGGACCGGGAGGGAGACGGCTCCCCTGAGAATGCTGCCCGAAGTATTCAGTTCCTGTATTACACAATCGAGAACCTGGGTTTATTCATTAGTAACCCCCAGCCCCAACTTCAGAAGCAGCTGTCAAGGCACCTCTGGGAAAACAGGGACTCGTTCTTCAGGTATGATCAAATGTCACCCTGTATTGACTTCGTGTATAAAGGTCCCTACAGGCCAGTGGCTCAGCTTTAACAGGCCACTTTTGTTCCTCTCCAAAGGACAAGTTTTCATAAAGCCTCGCACCTTCCCCCGAGGCTTGCTAGAGGCTCCCCCATCTCAGCCAATGAAGCTGCTACAGTGGAGATGGAGGATGGCTCTGTGGCAGAGTTCTTGCCTAACACGCAGAGGCCCGATGGACTCCAAAACTGTGTGAGTCGCCAGGCCCCCAAGCCACCAACAGGGTTGACATCAAGTTCTAAAATAAACTGATCCTCTACTCTGTCCCTGCAATTCAGAGTTAATTCTCCATGGAAAGGACAGCACGGCTGGGGATTTAGCTCAGTGGTAGAGCGCTTGCCTAGCAAGCGCAAGGCCCTGGGTTCGGTCCTCAGCTCCAGAAAAAAAAAAAAAAAAAAAGACAAAATAACAAAGAAAGGACAGCCTGTGGGTCAGCCCTCCCCTTATAAAAGACAGCATGCAAATATTCCAGACTGTATGGGAGAGAGCTTAGAAGTCTGTGACCCCAGGAACAGGAAATGCCCCCTGACTGGGAGGCAAGAAAGGCCTTCTGGGAAACCAGTACCTTGGAAATGAGTTCATCGTGATTGGCCAAGTGAGCCCTGCAGTGAATGCAGCTGTAGGTCCGGTGGCATGAGGGCAGGTATGCCTGAAAAGTCTTGGATCTTGTCATCTTCACCATTGGTGCGGCTGAGCGTGGGGCGAACTCTGGGGCAGCCCACGAGGCACTCCCACAGGATGGGTCGCACGGGAAACACCGAAAGACACAGGTAAAGGCCGTGGTTTGGCAGGGGGTGGGTGTGCGGCAGGCTCCACACACTGGTGACGTCTTCAGAGGAAGGACTCTCTGGTAGAGGTCTACAGCTGCTTCTCAGAGCCTGCGGCAGCAAAGGGAAACACCATCAGCAGCTGGAGCAAAGCTTTCTACAAGATGAACCCAAGTGCCGCCCTCAGAGGGAGCAGCGGACACTGGCCACATAAAAGATCCTCTTCTCTGTTCCCTCACACTGCACCCACTCCAGTCTCGCTGGCTTTGTTAGGTAGTTGGAGATTATTCAGTACTAACACAGTATTGACAAGAGTTCTAACAAACTGGCATCATCACCATCCCTGGACACAGACCAGGATTGAAGATGGGCTATTCGCAGCCCCCAGGGCGGACCTCCTGGAAATCCTCACCCCAGGACTTGGGAGCGCTTCAGCTATTCACAACATCCAATAATCCAATAGTCCTGTTTGTATCTCATCCATTTTCAGACACCAGGAGCATGCCAACCCTGGAAGCCACCACCTACAGGGGAGCAAACCACACAACAGCTTCTGCTGGATTAAGTGTGGGACTCAAAAGACCAAGTTCCCATTTAGTAATGCTCCCGAAGAGTGGTAGCTAGTTTGTCTGCGAGAAGTGATTCCCTTTGCAACACCTTGCTCTGACAAGATACCCAGTGTATGTATTTATATGTGTATTTTAAAAGGCAAGTAAATGAATTAAATCAAAGGCATAACATTTGAAAAATCGTAATGACCATGAATTGCACAATGCTTCCCAGTTCTCCCATTACTTCCTGTAGAAGACTCCACTACCTAGCCTCAGCTTTCTCACTGTCCTGGGAACATAGGACACTAAGAATGGGGAAGAGGAACAGAGCTCCCAGTGGATCGACTTGAATGAAGGCCTCTAAACCTTTGCTTACCTGAGGCTCTGCATCTGTCTATTCCCTGGACTTCACTAATGGGGGAGGCGTTCCCCCTTGCCTACCTTCCCAGGAGAGCCAGGAGTGTTAATTAACACCTGCAACATGCTTTGAAGATTAAATTATTTAGAGAAATGGGGGAGGGAGACAAATAAAATAAGTTCTCCCTCTCTGGACTGTCTGGGATCCATCTGGACTTAGGAGGAAACCTGCAAATCATAGTGTTCTTTTTCCTCTAAATCCACTAACTAGTAGAACCAAGTCTCTCATTAGGAGGCTGCTCCCATCCATCCCACCTGCCTTTCATTCTCCCCACCACAGCTGTCACATCTGGGCTACACCTTTCTCAGTGGACAATACCACTGCCCAGTACTACAATGAAGACAGTGTGAACAATTCTCCTCACAGCGTCCTTGAGCCACGTGGGCTCCATGCCCAACACACATCCCTTGTGTGACCTGTCTGATTCAGATCCAGACCCACAGGGGCCAGGGCATGTCTTCCCTGCTCAGTCTCCCACAGGTTCAAGACGAAGAACTGGGTTACACGTCTGTAACACAGAAATACTGGCGGTAGACAGAGGTGTAAATGATACCCTAGACCGCGCCTCAGGCTTAGCCACAACAGATACACAGATGCCTGGGATCCCAAGCTAGCCTGTGGGGACTAAAGGCTGACAGGGCTAGGTTACTCTTTCCCCGCCCCTTCCACTGGGTTTCCTGACCTAGCCTCAATATTTCCAATATTCCTGTTCTGCTGTTATGTTAGCAAGGATAAAAATTCCAGAAGAGGCAGAGGAAAGTGGGGGCGGTACCGGTCCCAGTCCACGCTGAGTGCCTCTGGTGTATTAGCAGGGTGGGAGCATAGGGCTTCTTTCTGTTGGGTCTGGGTTATGTTTTTGCTTTTCTCACAGCCCAGGAAGGCCTGGAACCTCTTGCCTCAGTTCCTCCCTAGAACTGTCACTAGAAGTGTGCACCACCATGCCCAGCTGTCTAAGTTCAAGTCCACAGCCGTGGCTGCCCAGGGCCAGGGTGAGCAGCATGAACCCCCGGGTCTTCCACAAACACCAAGGAAAGAAAGGAAAACAATGGCCTGGCGGGCTGAGAGCTTTACAGAGGCCATAGAGTGTTTTCTTATGCGCGCAGACAGCTTCTCAATTATGCATTTCCCTGGAGTAGAATTATTTCTTTTCTCACTTCTCCTCTGTAGGAAGCCTAAAAAAAGTACACAGGCAGAGGTTCCTTGTTATGCCCTGAATCCAAAAACACATTCACAGCTCCTTCTACAGAATAAGCATTTGCAGCATGTATTAAGTGTTGAGTAGGTCACAAACATGGATCCATGAAATATACCTCACCATGACTCAGAGAAAATGCTACCATGCATTGGCCTAGGCTGCATGGTGCTGGAAAACCCTGGAAAGACTGGGCCATGGACATTTGCCTTGTCTATGGCAGACTCATTGTCCTCTGGGTGGGGGTTATTGAGACAGGGTCTTACTATGTAACCTTGGCTGTTCTGGGACTTGCCATGTAAATCAGGTTGGCCTTGAACTCAGAGATCCAAAAGCCTCTGCCTCCAGAGCACTGGAATTAAAGATGTGCACCACCATGTCCTGCATTATTGCTCTTTAGTAATTTCAGAAGTATCCTAAAGAAGGGACTTTCTCCGGGGTGGGGGGGGGGGTGCGGATCGGGCAAGGCAGACAGAAAGTATTAGAAATGTTACCATGTTCAATTGGTCCAGGACAAACTAGAAAGACCTAGAAGGAAGAAGGGGGAGAATGGTAGTGAAACAAGAGGGCTGGAGAGATGATGGCTGGGCGGTTAAGAGCACGTACTGCTCTGGTAGAGTCAGTTTCCAGCGCCCACATCAGATAACTCACAGCAGCCTGTAATCCAGCCTGGGAGGATCCAATGCCTCTGACCCCGGTGCCGCACCTGCACTCACAGGCACCAGCACCCACACACTCTCTCTTTAAAATACAAAATCCTGGAATAAAGAATGAATGGTGAAGCAGTGGCAGGAGGCATTCTATATCTAGTAAGAAGGAACACAGGCCAAGTAGGAAAACAGAGATGAACACCAGGCCCTAAAACAACAACAAAGAAACCAACCAAACAAAAAAACCACCTAATCACCTAGTGTTCTTCCCACTTGGAGTCAGGGTTCTAAAGGAACAGAACTCACTCCTCTCTCCCTCTCTCTCTCTCTCTCTCTCTCTCTCTCTCTCTCTCTCTCTCTCTCTCTCTCTCTCTCTCACACACACACACACACACACACACACACACACACACACACACACACACACACACACACACGGAATTTATTACATTGGTCCAAATAGTGGTACAGGCTGTGGTCCGGCTAGTCTAATGGCTGTCTACCAGCAGAAAGCCTAAGAACCCAGGAGTTGTTCATTGGCTGGATGTCTCTGCTGGTCTCCTGCATATGCCTGAATCCTGAAGGAGTCTCTAGCACCAGTGGATTTGCCAGTGAGAACAAGCAGGCAAAGACTAAAAGCTTCCTTTTTCCATGTCCTTACATGGGCTTCCAGCAGAAGGTGTGGCCCAGATTAAAGGTGACTCTCCCTACTCAAAGATGCTGATTAAGCCGGGCGGTGGTGGCGAACGCCTTTAATCCCAGCACTCGGGAGGCAGAGCCAGGCGGATCTCTGTGAGTTCGAGGCCAGCCTGGACTACCAAGTGAGTTCCAGGAAAGGCGCAAAGCTACACAGAGAAACCCTGTCTCGAAAAACCAAAAAAAAAAAAAAAAAGATGCTGATTAAAGTGGGTCTTCCTATCTCAAATGAATTAAGAAAAAAAAAAATCTCTCTAGGTGGTGGTGGTGCACACCTTTGATCCCAGCATGTGTATGATGGGGGAAACCTGTGGGTGGGTGTGCGTGTTGTGTATGCATGCGTGCGTGCATGTATGTATGTGCGCGAGCACGTGTGGATATAGAACTGTGAGTACAAGCCCAGCCAGCCTGGTCTACAGAGGAGAGGGAGTTCCAGAATATCCAAGGTTACAGAGAAATTCTGTCTGGAAAAACCATAAAGGAAAAGAAAGAAAAGGAAAGGAAGGAAAAATCCCTCACAGGTATACCTAGGCACTTAGGTTTTTAGTTAATTCCAAATGCAGTCAAGTTGACAACCAAGAATAGCCATCATACCATTTACAGGAGATTTTTAAAAAATTTTGCTTGATTTAATTCAATAAAGAAGTGCATTGATTTCCCTGGAGAGAAATGAATCACGCATGCGGGGCCACAGGACTTGGCACATTTTAATTTCTGAACTTTGGCCCCTGTTAATGGTGCCACAGTGTGCATGGATATAAAAGTCCAACTTGTTGAGCATTTTTGCAAAGTCCAATTGATTTCTAACATAATCAAAAGCCTCAGGGCTTGTGTACAATTTAAACAGCACTTAAAGTGAACTAATAATCCACAGTGGAAATTAAAGAAAGACTGTCTACCACCACCAGCTGGCTCACGATGATCCCCATGGAAAGAAAAATGTGAAATATTATGATTAAAAACAAAGATCTCAGATATACCATCTCCAGAGCCAAAGGCATAGGGAACACACGCTGAGCCTGTCAGGGGCCCTTCTGACTGACAGGCCATTCCCATGGGAGTCACAGTAGCCACTGAGATTCAGAACTGTACCTCCCAGGTGTCACTGGGAGGAAAGAGTGGCATGCTTCTTTCTTTAGTTATGCCGTAAGGAACCTGAGAGGTGACCTGGAAGCCAGGCAGCATCATCCCACAACAGCCTTGGAAGCTGGCCGGTAGCAGAACTGCCACAGGAAGACAGGGCTATCCCTAACGTGTGCCTGTGCTGTTTCAGTAGAGCAGGCAGAAGGTGACCAGAGGTGGGCTCTAGAATCTCACAAATGAGTTCTGTTCCTTCCTAGCTGGGTGACAGCTGCTGGCAAGTTCCTCAACTTGCAGACCCTGGTGTCCCCTCTCTAACTAAGTACTAAATGAGATGACCCAGCTCTCTCTCATTCTTAGTGGTCCGTGGAAATAAAATGACGCCGCTTTGGATGAGACGTGAACCCTTCTGTGGCTCCAACACACCACACTCACAGGGAAGTGTGATCCCTACTGTTGCTACAGTCTGGCCCAACTTCATCCTCTCCCTTCACCAAGCCCTCACCTGTCCATTCAGACTTCAG